ACCCTAATTGATCATGATGAGGCTGATTGCGGCGGGGACTTGGTGCGACGCGGGGCGTCGTCATCAGGCTATTTCTTCCGCATCATCAGGAGATGAGGGTGGCAGCCTTGGCAGCGAAGCTAAACAGTCGGAGGGATGCCGCGCGTGCGTGCGCGCAGGTCTGAGCAGCAGTGGCAGTGAGGGGGCAAACGGCCAACGGAGTACAGCACCACCTCCACTGCAGCCTACCACCACGGCTCCAGTAGTGGCCCGGGCGTGTCCGTGTGCACGTGAGAAGCAGCAGTCAGACCAGTGGTAGGGAGTACGCCGGTGGGCAAAAGTTTCCTACCTCGGCAGTGTGGCAATATTTTTGTCAATGCCGCCCGAGGAAGTTAAACGTTAATCCGTATATGTCGACCTATGTGGCCAGAAGAGTCTAGCGTGGCCAGGGGGCCCATGTTGGGAATCTACGCGTTTGCAGGCAGCATATGCAGCATCAGCCATTTTGGTGGCCTGGGAAAACCGTGATTAGAAGGGATACGCGGGTTCTGCCCGCGCCAGCCCCCTTCGTCCATCGGACTCCGCTCCGTTACTTGCGTGCCGGGTGGAGGAGCTCTCCGAGGCGTCAATCGCCCTCTATCAGCCAGTCAAGGCGCCCTACCACCTCTGCTCGAGGGAAGTTGTCTGCTCGTTGGCATCTTCGCTCGTTCTGATGCTCCTTCTCATGCTACTCCTCTTCACGGATTCCAGTCAGCAGTCTTTTCTTGGAATCCGCTTTCCAAGAGACAACTGTTTTGCCGAGCAACGCACACGAGCGGTTGCAAAATAGCTGAAACGTCCCCTCACCTGTCCAAGTAAGTGCCTGGTGCTGCAGTCCCCCTCCCTTTCCAAGTGGTGGGACTCCCAAGCACGTTTCCGAGAAATGATGGCTTGTGCCGCGCGCGGTGGTGGAGAGTGCCAAGGCCGTCATTTTCTTCGCCAAAAAGGCAGATGCCAGCCCTGGCATTCACATGTAGAAGGGAGATGGTGGGACAGTCTTTGAGCAGTCGGGTCTCTACCAAAGTGCACGGCAGCGCCGACGTATGTGGGAGCTGTAACTACGGATCCAGGGACAGGTTACATGTCATTTACGGCCCACTGGCGTGAACGTGGTGCCGTCACATGCCGCACCAGCAACTTGGACAGGTCACGCCGACTTTTGCCTCCACGTGTTTGCACGGTCATTGGTTCCTGCAAAGATGTCCGGCCTCTACCACCTCTCTTCTTCGCCGTGTCCTCAGCCGCCCATCTCCCGTGTCCAAGTCCCATTAAACACGACCGGCATATCCCATTGTGGCAGGGCGCTACGGTGTCCACGCTGTGCTGCACCTGGTATGCTTCTTGGCTAACGGTAGTCACACAGAGGAGGATATTTCTCAGTGTAATGTACAGAGAAATCGACAGATGGGCTGTCTGCCAGCGCACAAACTGAAAAATCGGAACCATGTTGACACGACAACGGAAAGAAACATGGTGTCTGCTCTGCGTCAAGGAAGGTTGTGCCATGCGCCATGCATGGTTCACGTGTTCAATCTGGTTGTCAAGCGGTTCCTAAAATCCACCATCCCACTGCAAGAAACATCCTAAAAATGTCACGTAAAACTTTGCATGCATTTCAGTCCATTCCTACACCGCAACAGACACACCTCCTTGAGCTGCAGCGGCTCACCAGAACGGAATTCCACAGCATCGCCTGATCTGCGAAGACGTTGCAACAAGGTGGAATTCAACCCTACACATGTTAGAACCGCCTTTACAAACAGCGAATGGCCATCACGATTTCCTGATGTTACAAGCGGATAAAGGTACTCCCCTGTGTACCTTCGATGTCAGCCATTGGCTGCTCATGCGTGACACCTTGCCCGCTTTTGCTCAGGCCCTGTTGAGGGAGGCCATGCTATATCGTGAGTCACGCAGGACTATGGGATGAACGACGTCATTCCTCTGTTGCACGTCTGGAACAAATGTGTTAACAATGGCTGGTTTCAGGTGCGGTAGACGTTGGCGCACAGATCTCAAACGCCACATGACCCCTGTGGGAGGCGCAAGGACAGGGAAGAAGGGAGGAGGTAGAGGAGGACATTTGGCTCAGGAATTATTGAGCGAAATGGTGTGGTTTTTTCCACTCAGCGGACAGGAGGACGTTTGGAGGGATGCAGGAAGTCATATGGGTAGAGGAGGAGGGAGGAGACAGAGTGACCCAGATGCACCGTGGCAGTATGCTGTGGAGATGGAGGCAGGGAGTCCCTCGCATTCCTTGCACAAATGGCCCATAGCATGCTCGCTTGCTTGCGCGTAGCGACAGGCTCCGAATAATAACCATCAGACAGAGGGGATGACTTTTGGCTTGTCCACCTTGTGGACCCTCGCTACAGTTCAACAATGGTGGCCTTTTTTCACACTGTGAGAGGGAGGCCAAAATAACGTACACTATAAAAACCACCCTATGTAGTCATGTTGGTCTCTGCCATTTGTGCGCCAACGTCCATCCTCAGGGACACTGTGGGCCCTGTGCGCTCGCGTTCCGCATGCCATGGCAGCAGGGGAGGGGTGGGGTGGTAGGAGCAGTGGACAGGCTCCACCAGCAGCGGCAGTGCCTCAGTCTGCAGTCGATGATGAGTAGCTTTCTTCACCAGCGCAGTGAGTGGAAAAACTACTAAACCAGCCGCCGCAGCAGCAGCAGGCATCAGGTGGACCTGGAGCAGGACCTCAAACAACAGGCTTGGGCCTACTTGGACAGCACCCTGCCAACCGAGGTAGACAATCCCCTTGACCTACTGGGCAACGAAACTTTGACCTTTGGACCCAACTAGCTGAATTTGCCCATGAAGGCTGTCATGCCCTGGTCCATAGTAGCGTGGCATCGGAGAGCGCGTGTGTTAGTACGCGGCAGGAGGTATTGTAACTCCGGCGGAGGACACACTACTGTCCACCCTAAGTGTGGAGAGACTCACGTTTGTGAAAATGAATCAGGCGTGGATTAGTTTTCTGGATTTCAAAAACACACAGTTCCTGACACAAACTGACAAAATCCGCCATGAATCATGCCCAAACATGTGCCACTTTTCAGGGTCTCCTCACACTGCTGCATGTGTGTTCCATTTTTGGTCATAGGGTGCTGGCAGATTACGGGCCTCCCATAGCTGCTGCCAGTCCCCTAATCTGCCATGGGCCCCCGTTACCGCCTCCTCATGCTGCTGCCAGGTCCCAGAGTCTCTCATGGGTCCCTGTACGGCCTCCATTGCTGCTGTCTCCATCGCCACACTCTGCCATGTGCCACTTTCAGGTCTCCTCACACTGCTGGTGTGTTCCATTTTTTTTGTCATAGGGTGCTGGCAGATTACGGGCCTCCCATAGCTGCTGCCCAGGCCCCCTAATCTGCCATGGGCCCCTGTACCGCCTCCTCATGCTGCTGCCTGCTAGGTTCCACAGTGTCTCATGGGTCCCTGTACGGCCTCCCATTGCTGCTGTCTCCATCGCCACATCTCTCTGCCGAGTGCCACTTTCAGGTTCCTCCTCACACACTGCTGGTGTGGTTCCATTTTTTGACATATGATGCTGGCCGATTACAGGCCTCCCATAGCTGCTGCCAGGCCCCTAATCTGCCATGGGCCCCTATACCGCCTCCTCATGCTGCTGCCAGGTCCAGAGTCTCTCATGGGTCCCTGTATGGCCTCCCCCTGATTGCAGCTGTCTCCATCGCCACACTCTGCCATGTGCCACTTTCAGGTCTCCTCACACACTGCTGGTGTGTTCAATTTTTTGTCATAGGGTGTGCTGGCAGATTACGGGCCTTTCACATAGCTGCTGCCAGGGCCCCTAATCTGCCATGGGCCCTGTACCGCCTCCTCTTGCTGCTGCCAGTCCACATTGTCTCAATGCCATGTGCCACTTTCAGGTCTCCTCACACTGCTGGTGTGTTCAATTTTTTGACCTAGGGTGCTGGCAGATTACGGGCCTCCATAGCTGCTGCCAGGCCCCTAATTGCCATGGGCCCCTATACGCGCTCCTCATGCTGCTGCCAAGTCCAGAGTCTCTCCCATGGGTCCCCCTGTACGGCGTCCCATTGCTGCTGTTCTCCATCGAGACACTGTGCCATGTGCAACTTTCAGGTCTCCTCACACACTGCTGGTGTGTTCAATTTTTTGACATAGGGTGCTGGCAGATTACGGGCCTCCCAATAGCTGCTGCCAGGCCCCTAATCTGCCATGGGCCCCTGTACCGCCTCCTCCATGCTGCTGCCAGGTCCACAGTGTTCTCATGCCAAGTGCCACTTTCAGGTCTCCTCACACTGCCGTGGCAGTATGCTGTGGAGATGGAGGGCCCCCCGCAGGGAGTCCCTCGCATTCCTTGGCACAAATGGCCCATAGCATGCTTCGCTTGCTTTGCGTAGCGACAGCCGAATAATAACCATCAGACAGAGGGATGACTTTTGGCTGTCCACCTTGTTGGACCCTCGCTACCGTTCAAAAATGGTGGCCTTTTTCACACCTGCTGAGAGGGAGGCCAAAATAACGTACTATAAAATCCACCTATGTAGTCAGCTGGTCTCTGCCTTACTGCGCCAACGTCCATCCTCAGACACTGTGGGCCCTGCTGCGCTCGCCTAGCTGAATTTGCCCTTGAAAGGCTGTCATGCCCGGCCAGTAGCGTGGCATCGGAGCGCGTGTTTTTAGTGGGGCAGGAGGTTATTGCAACTCCGCGTGAGGACACGACTGTCCACACAAAGTGTGGAGAGACTCACGTTTGTGAAAATGAATCAGGCCCAGTGGATTTAGTCTGGATTTTTCAAACCACCAGTTTATTTCCTGACACAACTGACTAAATCGCGCCATGAATCATGCCCCAAAACATGTGCCACTTTCAGGTCTCCTCACACTGCTGGTGTGTTCGATTTTTTGTCATAGGGTGCTGGCAGATTACGAGCCTCCCATTGCTGCTGCCAGGCCCGTTAATCTGCCATGGGCCCCTGTACCGCCTCCTCATGCTGCTGCCAGGTCCAGAGTCTCTCATGGGTCCCTGTACGGCCTCCCATTGCTGCTGTCTCCATCGCCACACTCTGCCATGTGCCACTTTCAGGTCTCCTCACACACTGCTGGTGTGTTCCATTTTTTGTCATAGGGTGCTGGCAGATTACGGGCTCCCATAGCATGCTGCCAGGCTCCTAATCTGCCATGGGCCCCTGTACCGCCTCCTCATGCTGCTGCCAGGTCCACAGAGTCTCATGCCATGTGCCACTTTCAGGTCTCCTCACACTGCTGGTGTGTTCCATTTTTTTGTCATAGGGTGCTGGCAGATTACGGGCCTCCATTGCTGCTGCCAGGCCCGTAATCTGCCATGGGCCCCTGTACCACCTCTTCATGCTGCTGCCAGGTCCAGAGTGTGTCATGGGTCCCTGTACGGCCTCCCATTGCTGCTGCCAGGAGGCAGCAGGGTCGCAGCAGTGTCAGTGGAGGCAAACGGCCACGGAGTAGAGCACCAGCTCCACTGCAGCCTACCACCACGGCCAGTAGTGGTGCCGGTGTGCACGGAGGAAGTAGCAGTCAGCCAGTGAGGAGTAGCGGGGGCAAAGTTTCCTACTCGGCGGTGTGGCAATTTTTCGTCAAGCCGCCCGAGGAAGTAAACGTAGCCGTATGTCGACTATGTGGCCAGAAAGTCAAGCGTGGCCAGGGGGCCCATGTTGGGACTACAGCGTTGCGTCAGCATATGCAGCGTCGCCATTCGGTGGCCTGGGAAAACCGTGATAAAGATACAGCGGTTCTGCCTGCCCCAGCCCAGGGTTCAATTTTATCATAGGGTGCTGGCAGATTACGGGCCTCCCATTGCTGCTGCCAGGCCTTAATCTGCCATGGGCCCCTGTACCGCCTCCTCATGCTGCTGCCAGGTCCACAGTGTCTCATGGGTCCCTGAACCGCCTCCCATTGCTGCTGTCTCCATCGCCACACTCTGCCATGTGCCACTTTCAGGTCTCCTCACACTGCTGGTGTGTTACATTTTTTGTCATAGGGTGCTGGCAGATTACGGGCCTCCCATTGCTGCTGCCAGGCCCCTAATCTGCCATGGGCCCCAGTACCACCTCCTCATGCTGCTGCCAGGTCCACAGTCTCTCATGGGTCCCTGTACGGCCTCCCATTGCTGCTGTCTCCATCGCCACACTCTGCCATGTGCCACTTTCAGGTCTCCTCACACTGCTGGTGGGTTCCATTTTTTTGTCATAGGGTGCTGGCAGATTACGGGCCTCCCATAGCTGCTGCCAGGCCCCTAATCTGCCATGGGCCCCTGTACCACCTCCTCATGCTGCTGCCAGGTCCAGAGTCTCTCATGGGTCCCTGTACGGCCTCCCATTGCTGCTGTCTCCATCGCCACACTCTGCCATGTGCCACTTTCAGGTCTCCTCACACACTGCTGGTGTGTTCCATTTTTTGTCATAGGGTGCTGGCAGATTACTGGCCTCCCATTGCTGCTGCCAGGCCCGTAATCTGCCATGGGCCCCTGTACCGACTCCTCATGCTACTGCCAGGCCCGTAATCTGTCATGGGCCCCTGTTGTCGCTTGTTGGCATATTCCGCTCGTTCAGATGCTCCTTCTCCTGCTACTCCTCTTCACGGATTCCGTCAGCAGTCTTTCTTGGAATCCGTTTCCAAGAGACAACAGTTTGCGAGCACGCACCCGACGGTGCAGAAGCTGAACGTCCTCCTGTCCAAGTTGCTGCTGCCAGGCTCGTAATCTGTCATGCGCCCCTGTACGGCCTCCTCATGCTGCTGCCAGGTCCAGAGTGTGTCATGGGCCCCCGTACCGACTCCTCATGCTGCTTCCAGGCCCGTAATCTGTCATGGGCCCCTGTACCGCCTCCTCATGCTGCTGCCAGGTCCAGAGTGTGTCATGGGTCCCTGTACGGCCTCCCATTGCTGCTGCCAGGCCCGTAATCTGCCATGGGCCCCCGTACCAACTCCTCATGCTGCTGCCAGGCCCGTAATCTGTCATGGGCCCCTGTACCGCCTCCTCATGCTGCTGCCAGATCCAGAGTGTGTCATGGGTCCCTGTACGGCCTCCCATTGCTGCTGTCTCCATCGCCACACTCTGCCATGTGCCACTTTCAGGTCTCCTCACACTGCTGGTGGTTTCCATTTTTGTCATAGGGTGCTGTATGGCCTCCCATTGCTGCTGCCTCCACCGCCACACTGTGGCTCCACACTCTGGTTTTGGCCCCGTGACTGCCCAAATGAGTGAAGTGTGCGGTGATTCTAAGATCGACGGCACTCATCTGCATGTCATACTGACTGTCAGTATTATTTCTCTTCCCCAGCAGACTCCAAGGGCATTTAAATTAAAGGTACAGTGTTCTGCACTAATATAAAGGCTCTCTGAAGCCTAGAAACACCCTTTTATAAGTTAAATTCGCAGCGAATATATTCGACTCGAATCGAAATTTTTCCACGAATTCGCCGAATCAGTCGAATCGAATTTTTGAATACTTCGCTCATCTCTAATAGTAATATGGACTCTCAAGACCTCAGTGGCGGGCACTGAACCTGATTTGAATTCGTTAAAGTATGCTGCTAAATGGGGAGCCAAAATCAACGTGAATTTCCGGTAGTACAAACCATCCGGGCCTGGAGCTTTGGAAGAATGGATCAACTTGATAGCCTGAAGAACTTCAAGGACGGATATATCGGCCTGTAAAGAATCTTTAGCTGAATCAGTCAAAGCTGGGAGATTAAGGTCCTGGAAAAAATGGTCAGCGAGGTCAGTTCGGAAAGGAGATGGTTTATCATTTAAAGAGGACAAGAATTCTCTCCTCCAGGTCATTTGTGCGAGAGCCCAGCTCCCAGATCTCCTTAGTAAGCTGCATCGCTAACCGCGTTGTGGCCGCTGTAAGTTCGGTTTACAGCAGGGCTTTAAAGCAGAGCAAAAGATCTGCATCTCGGAACATCTGGTGGAGGCAGCGGGGGGTCCTCTGGGTACTCACCCACCGCAGAGAGGGGTAGTGACTCTCTGGAGAGCGGCAGCAGGAAAGGATCTGGGCTGGAAGGTGGGGCCAGAAGTAGGCGCCAGAAGTAGGAGGCCTGTCTGTATTCCGTTCCGGCCTCTGCAAAATGGAAGCTCTGGAGTGAGCTGATTTCTTCCCCATATATGCTGTAGAGTATGAGGGTGGGCATAGAGTTTAACGGGTGGTGATCGGGACCCCCCAGGTCATCAAGGCAAATGCCGATGCACCCATGTGGTGAGGAGCGAGTTCAGCCTGCGACCATCTTGGTTCGCTGCTGAATTTATATTTTTTTTAGACAGAGATTTATTTGGTGGTATTTAATTACCATTGGATTTTTTACTTTTTACAATATAAAGGAAAACATTTTGAAAAAAAAAAGGTTTTCTTAGTTTCTGTTATCAAACTTTGCAAATAAATAATCTTTCTTCATAAATTTACACACATGTTCTGCTATATTTTTTGGTGAAAAAAATTGTCTGTGTGAAAGTTATAGAGTCTACAATATATAAATTGTACAGTGCTCAGCATAAATGAGTACACCCTAACAGATTTGTCACAAAACCTTACTTTCCTTTCAGAATCAACATTTTCTATGGGACACTGTTCTACAAAATACTCAAATGCACAAATGTGGGTCATCGATTGCAAACAAGATTTGTTAATTTGCACGCACAAAATTCATTCAAGACCATGTTGCAAATATGAATACACCCCAATGAAAGTCTTAGGAGCAAAGTTTAATTTTAGACAACAAAATCTTAATTAACCATTTCAATACCGTGCAATTTTACACCTTCCTGCCCAGGCCAGTTTTCACGTTTCAGCGCTCTCACACTTTGAATGACAATGGCGCGGTCATACAACATTGTACCCAAACTAAAATTTTATCATTTTCTTCACACAACTAGAGCTTTCTTTTGGTGGTATTTAATCACCGCTGGGGTTTTTATTTTTTGCTAAATTAACAAAAAAAGACCAAACATTTTGAAAAAAAACACGTTTTTCTTTGTTTCTGTTATAAAAGTTTACAAATAAATAATTGTTCTTCATAAATTTAGGCTGAGATGTATTCTACTACATGTCTTTGGTGAAAATAACCCAAATTAGGATGTATTTTTTAGTTTGTAAGAAGATTTTTTTTTCATATTTTACTATGACCAAAGTAGTACAATGTTACCATAGTAATATTATACTACTTTGGGGAAGTGATCAGTATTTTTTTTATTTTTATTTTTTTACACAATTTGCTTATAGCAAAGAATTACTTTGCTCTAAGCAAGCATTTACCAGAATGAAATCAATTCATTCAGTTTTTTTTTTTTGTGCTTAGCTGTGATTTGGTCACAGCTAATCACATGACATGTGCATGTGACCTGCTGTGACCATTCACAGCTAGGCACTAGTATACAATGGATGGCATGAATGAAGCCATCCATTGTATACAACTGTCATGTGACCTGCTGTGATTGGTCACAGCAGGTCACATGGTACCAGCAACGGGAGCCGGTACTCGGATCTGTCATCGGCCGTGTCTGAGGTACACGGCCGGTGACAGATCGCGCTGCTGCGCCGCTCTGCAGTTGCGTGAACTGAGCATGTGCGGGAGCACGCCAAATGGCGTGCACCCGGCATGCAGAAGCACTTTTGCCGCCGCCAAACGGCCATTGGCCGGGCGGCAAATGGTTAACAAGAATTAAACTACAGGTGAGTCTAATTATTCATTAAACAGGTGTCCAGCAGACAGCCGATTATAAAAGGGCGTTACTTAACAAAGAAAACCCCTTCTCTTTTCATGCTGTCTGCAATGCTACCACATGGAAGAGAAATGTCACAATGCTGGATAACGAAAATAATTTCTTTACACAAGAAAGGTGAAGGCCATAAGAAGATCAGCAAAGCTTTACTTATCAGTCAGAAGCTCCATAAAAAAAACAGCGCTGTGGTGGTAGTAATATAAAAACCCCACTAGGGGGAGTACCTTTATTGGAATAAGCAATGGAACATAAAAACACTTGAGCCTGTGGCTTGAAGGAAGTTCCTGGGTCAGGTGGATGGCCCATCCGCTCGGGGGATGATGTGCAGTGGTGATGAATGGAGTTGAGCCTGTCAAGTTCTTGAGAAAGCACACGTGTGTGAAACATGTCGTCCTGGTACCTGTCCATACCTCCCCTGCTTGCAGCAGTACGCTGGGCTTCCCCTCCATCTCTTGGCTATCACGGTGACATCATCCCGGGACTCTGCGATCACGTGGTCCCTGCATCTGACAGGCTCAACTCCAAACGTTTGAACTAAGAATGATAATTCTATTTGATACAAGAGATAATGGCCTTAATTTGGACATGGGATTCCTCACTCATTATCCAACAGTTGTCCCCCCCTCCCCCCCCCCCCCCCCCCCCCTAGTCTTTGCTTTTGCTGTGTCTTATCTCTAGTCTAATCCTAGTCTTATAACCATTGCTGTGTACATTTGTTTGTGTGTGTTTCTTTCTGGTTGTTTCTCTTCTAACATTCTGCTAAAACTTTGTGAAATAGCACTGCCTGGACCTTGAAGAAGGGGACATACCCCGAAAGCTTGTCCTCAAAATTGTATGTAGTGCAAATAAAAAAAGTATCACGTCAGTACTCAATTGTTTCTGTTGCAAGTGCACTAATACAGCTACAATCACCTCAGTCACAATTTGAGAAATTGTTCTTGTGTTCTTTGAAATATTAATTAAAATCTTACTTTTCATAAAACATCAGAACAGTACACGTTTCTCCCAAATGAGCCCTGGAAAGTGTAGTCTATTTTACATGTAAAGAAGTGTTAAACCCTAATCCAAAGACAAAAAAAAATATATTACATTTGCCAATCCTTAAATGTGGTTGTTGGATTTGTTTTTTTTAAGCTTTTTTTTGTTATTTTCATCTGATGATATAGCCAGTGACACACTTTTTATCTTAGGGCACCTCCACTCTGGATGGAGGAGCAATGGAGACACCTTTGGAAAGCAGCATTGTCAGTCTAGAGAAAGGGTAGTGTTAGATGCACTGATTTAGATGGACTAACAAACATAGAAATGTGATGGCAGAAAAAGAGCAAGTGGTCTATTGAGTCTGACCTTTTTTTTCAGTTATACATGTTTTTGTATTTTTTTTGTCTGAGTATAGATTTATGTTTGTCCCAAGCATGTTTAAGTCCACTTACTGTTGACTGACTTACTACTTCTGATAGAAGTCTGTTCCAAGCATCAACTACCCTTTTGGTAAAATAATACTTTCTAAAGTATTATCTTAGTTTTTTTAAAATTCCTTCTGCTAGTCTGAGGTCATGTCCACGTCTTCTTAATCTTGGCTTCATATTACAAATACTGCCCTCCTGAACATCATTCACCCCTTTCATGTATTTAAAGGTTTCAGTCATGTCTCCCCTTTTCCTTATTTCCACCACACTGTACATATTAACTCCCTCAAGTCTTTCCTGATAAGTTTTCATTAAATGGGTAGCACAGTTGCTAAATAGTTAGCACTTCCACCTTGCAGCACTAGGGTTGTTGGTTCAAATCCTAACCATGACACCACCTGCCTGGAGTTTGCATGTTCTCCCTGTGCTTGCATGGGTTTCCTCCCACACTCCAAAAACATGCTGATAGGTGAATTGGCTCCTGTCTAAATTGGCCCATGTATGCATCAATGTGAGAAAGGGACCTTTAGATTGTAATCTCCTTGAGGGTTAGGGACTGATGTGAATGAACAATATGCATATGTGACGTGTTGTGTAAATTGATGGCGCTATATAAATACCTGTAATAAATAAAAAAAATTAAAGCCAAACTCCTGCTAACACTGATTAAGTAGTTACAGCAATTGTTTTTCTTTTTGGGATAAACAATTTCATAATGAGTGAAAACTGACCATGGTAACCACTCCTGTCCGTGTTAAATTGTTTGCCTCAACCCTCAATATGCAATATGCCTAAAAATAAGAAAACAAATGGAATTTCTTGGATTCCCACTTCCAGTCTACTACAATTATTAGATGATGATGGTGATGATGATATATAGGAGAATTGATGGAATTATAGCAAAAATAATAATAAAAATAAATTAAAATGATTTAAACTGTAATGCTGAATACTCCGAGGCACAAATAGAAGACATTTATACCTTAAAACAATTGGTCTGTTTAATTTATATTTTCTAACTTGATAATACAGAGTTGGATTTAATGCTCAACATAATTTTTCTTAAAATCATCTTTTCAACAGACGCTTTTACCTCTTTGTTTCTTAAACTGTACAAAATAGGGTTCAACAATGGTATGACAACTGTGTAAAACACAGCAATTTCTTTGTCCATATTGTTTGATTCTTCTGATGGTTTAAAGTAAGCAAAAATTAATGTTCCATAAAATAAAAGCACAACAGCAAGATGAGAAGCACAGGTAGAAAATGCTTTCTTTTTTCCTTCCCTTGATCGGATATTTAATATAGCAGCAATTATAAACATATAGGATATAAAAATAAGAATAATACAAATGAGTCCTAATACAAGATCTGTAGCTATAAGTACTTGTTTGTTTAGTGTTGTATCTGTGCAGGATAGTGCTAGAACTTGTGGAACTTCACAGAAAAAATGATTGATTTCTTTTGGACCACAAAAGGACAACCATAAAGTGCTCAATGAATGAAAAGCAGAACTTGAAAATCCAAATGTCCAGACAATTAATGACATACAAACACAAGCCTTTTTGCTCATTATACTCATATACCTTAATGGATTGCAAATAGCAAGATAGCGATCGAAGGACATAAAAGTTAGCAACAGAAACTCAGTATCCATGCCAACAGTGAAAACAAACATCTGAATTATGCAGCCAGTAAATGATATTGTTTTTTTCTGGGAAATTAAATTGAACAACATTTTAGGGACTGCAGAAGTGGTGCATATTACATCCAAGAATGATAGATTGCCAAGGAAAAAATACATTGGTGTGTTGAGTGCAGAATCAAATTTTGTAATAAAGAGAATGAGAAGATTGCCACCTATAGTTATTATATACATTACAAGAATTACTAAAAACAGCAAGATTCTAAATTCAGGAGGATAGGAGAGTCCAATAAGAATGAATTCTGAAATGCTGGATCCATTGTTCATTGTTCCTTATTCTTGAATAAAATTACTCAAATAAAAATATTATAAAAAGTATTGTTGTTATATAATGTTACTAAGTGAAGCTGATAAGACCCGCAAACCTGTTTAACTAATGTGTGAAGTGAAATGATGTGAGTGAAAATGTAAATATAAACATCCAATCATATGCAAGGGAATAAAAAAAAGTGATTTTCTTTAAAAAAAAACATGGATGTTTGCAGTGAATATAAGTTAGCTTCATTATATTTCCCACTTTAGTAAAACTAGCCTGTTAATACAATTAATTTCAGTTCTCCTATGATTCATCTGTTAATTTTTCTATTACTAACTGTACCTTTAAATTAAAAGTATACTGAAACCGGATCATATATTTTTAAAGAGATATGCCTACTTAAGAAAATGAATGATATAGTGCCAACAAACCTGCACATTTGTTTTTTGTCCTTTACTGAAACATTTATTCCAATGTTTCTATGTGCAAAACACCAACTACAAAAACTGTCAAAGAAAAAGAATTGGCAGATTTGTTTAGGTATCCCAGTAAATAAAATGTACATAAGTCTAAAATTAGTGTTTTTTATTATTACCTGAAAAAGTAGGCATAGTAAATGAAGATAAATTCTAAATGTAGTCACTATAGCATTTTTAAAGCATATTTGTCCAGTACCCATTAGCAATATATGTAACACTTCCATTTTAATCCCATATTCCAAACATTGTTTTCTTTAAGTAGCTATATTGCATATTCTATTAGGTGATAGACTGGAGATCTTTAACTTCCAATGCTCTAGCCATAAAACAAGTGAGAAGTAAATGATTACTAATACTGTTGATAGCAATGAGTTTGCTGATCCCTGATACTGCTAGGTACTCATGTATTAGGATGGCAGGCAGGGTCATCTGTCACAAATAGATCAATTTACTAAAGGCAAATAGACTGTTACCTTTGCAAAGGAAGTTGACCTTTTCAAGAAAACGTGCCCCAGAGCTTTGTGAATGTAATATACTGTAGTTCTGCAGACTTCCATCATCATGTGCAAGCAAAAGTATTTTTTTCCTTGAATATGAGTGGGTATCCTTTGCAAAGTGAAACTTTTTCACATTCACTAAGCTCTGGGGCAAATTCCCTTTCAACGTGTAACTTCGCATACACTCTTTACAGCATTTCAAAGATAAGCTACGAACGCCCGCTACCAGATTGTCTCATTTATCCGCTTGAAGCTTGCTTTATTGGATGAATCACCTTACTTACCGATTTTGAACTTTCCTGCCAGAATAAGGATTTCCCTAGAGGCCGTGTCTCCACGGTATATGCTCTCCTCACTGATACAAACCGTAAGCTTCCCTATATGGATCAATGGAAAGGGACTTGAATGTCAATTACGAACTGTCGAATTAGCAAGATATTGCCCTGGCACTATCAAACATTTCTATAAATTCTACCCTAATTGAAGCAAACTATAAAACATTGTTGAGATGGTACTTGGTCCCTAGACTGCGCGGATGCATCCATATGCTTCTGCGATATGTTTCTGGCGTTGTGACCAGGTGGGTTCTATGTACCACATCTGGTGGCAATGTCTGATAGCAACTAGACTTTGGATTCGTATGTTTAAGTTTATCAACTCAATGACGGGGGTAAATATATGTAGATCCCTGGAGATGGCCCTATTTAAAAAATTTCCAGAAAATGTTCCCAGGAAGTCCCATAAATTGATCAGCTATATGCTGTTGGCAGCCAGAATTGCAATATTTATTTATTATTTAATTATTTCCGGTACTTATACATTCACATCAGTTCCTAACCCTCAAGGGGCATACAATCTAAGGTCCCTAACTCACATTCATACATGTACATACTAGGGACAATTTAGACAGGAGCCAATTAACCTACCAGCATGTCTTTGGAGTGTTGGAGGAAACCAGAGTAAACCCACGCAGTCACAGGGAGAACAGGCAAACTCCAGGCAGGTGGTGCCAGGGTTCGAACCAGCGACTCTAGTACTGCCAGGCGGATGTGCTAACCATTTAGCCACTGTGCTGCCATAGCTAGACATTGGAAGCAATTGGTTATCCCACTTGACTATGTTAAAAATAAACTGAACTGGATTATGATTAACGACAAGCTCACCTGTATTCTGCATAATAATACTAAAAAATTTGACAAAACATGGGGCCCATGGATTCAATAAATTTCTGTGTTTTAATGTCCCTCATCCTGACCATCTCCTTCGTTCTCTCCTTTGTTTTCTCTATTTCCTTTTTTCTATCCTGCATTACTCCCTCCTCTGTTTGTTTGGGTGAGTTACGCCCAATCCCTTTTTTTATTGCAATATTTGTCCTGCCTCAAATGCTAATTACTTTGTGACAAACATAGTTATTTGCGGTGTTCTATACTTTATATATTTGACGGGACATTGTTCATTTGTATCACTTATCTGAAAAATTATTCAATAAAAATTATTTGAATACAAAGTGCAACTTCCCTTGCAAAGTGAACAGCCTATTTGACTGTAAATCAACCCCAAATATTGTGTTTGCCAAATATTATTCTGTTTACCAGGTGCATGGATTTAATATATTGCAGATCACATTATTTGATGGGTTGTGGAGGGCTCAATAGCCATGGTACATATTTATACAAATGAAAATATTAGAGAAAGATGGAATATCAGAAATGTCATGCTGGAGAGTGGCAGGAATTGAGGAAGTTGAACAAGTGGCTAGGAAAGTTGTGTAAGTAGAAGGGGTTTGATTTTGTGGAGAACTGCGCTCTCTTTTTGATTGGCTGTTACCTCTGCAATAGGGATGGACTAAACCTTATTGTGGAGGGTGTAGCTGTGGTGGGGGAAAAATGTCTTGAAGGTTAGTGGAGCTTTTGAACCAAAATCTGAGGGAAAGGATGTGAAGAGAACTTATGTGCAGGAACCAATGAAGGTAGAAGATATAGACATGAGTGGAAAATGGAGGTAGATGGGGCACAAACCAGACAGCAGGGAAGTCAATGCAGGACATCGAGCAGCAATACATTACAATAGAAGAGAGTGAATAATAAATATGCAAGGTGCTAAAACAAAATTAAAAGGCAAACCCACAAATACTGGCAAAGGTCTCACAATTATTTGACCATTCGAGCAGGATTTTGAATTTCAGAAAACAGGATTGATAGAAGAGGTGCAGGGATATGCCTCCATGTCAAGAGCAAATTGAAAGTGAGTCTGAGAGAGGATATCAGCAATGAGTGTGGCGATAGAGCAGAGTATTATGGGTGGAGCATCATACAAGTGCTTTAAATAATAAAACAATTATAGGAGTTTGTTACAGGCAGCCTAACATTGAGGAGGGGCCTCTTTTAGCAGACAGAATTGAACAGGGTAATAATATTTTGGGGACATCAATTATTCAGACTTTGATTAGACAAATAGTACCCCACACTCACCTATGGATTGCTATTTTATGAACACTCTACAGAACAATTTTATGATTTAATTGGTAAAGCACCAGCCAGAAAAAAATGTTCTGTTAGAGCTGAGGATTTTTATAATATAGAGCTAATTTAAGAAGTGCAAACTAGGGAAAAATTAGGCAATAGTGAGCCCAATATACTTCAATTTGATGTTAGTTACAGGTAGGACATTTGCAGTCCTTGTTGAGTGATACTAATTGGGACCAAATATTCCTAACAAAGAACACAGAAGAGAAGTGAAAGTGTTTCAAGGGTATGTTAAACATTAGTATTTGCCATGCATTCCGTGGAGTAAAAAGCAAACAAAAATGAAGCCTAGTATTAAAAACAAAGGTGAAAAAACTAGCGTTCAAAAAAAATGGAAGCAACAGATTCAGCATCTAATGGTTTACAAGGAATGTAATAAGAAAAGCAAGAATGCAATCAGATTGGCTAAAGTAAATTATGAGAATCATATTACTACAGAAAGCAAGAGAAAACTGAAACTATTCTAAAAATATATCAACAGTAAAAATGTAAGAAAGGAACAAGTAGGAGCTTTAGTCAAAAATTACATGGATAAGGCTAGTGTGTTAAATAACATTTCTCCTCAGTTTATAGTCAGGAAAAAGAAGGATTTACTGTAAGGAATAGTAATTTTAATACCACTGGGAGGGAGGTGCCATTGTGGTTGTCAGAAAATCGGGTCTGATGCAGACTTGAAAATCTAAAGATAAACAAATCATCAGGCCTGATGATTTACACTTGTAGGCAGAGTGTTTAGCTTATGGAATAGTACCAGCAGATTGACAAAAAGCTAACATGGTACCAATAATCAAGAATGGGCTGGAAAATTAGCTCTGGAAACTACGGACCAGTCAGCCTAACATCAATAGTTTATAGGGTCCATATCCAAGAATTTTCTGATAAGAATAGCATTATTAGTAGTAACCAGCATGGATTTATGAAAGATCGTTTTTGCCAGACCAACCTATAATCATTCTATGAGGAAGTGAGCTGTAATTTGGATAAAGTAATACCTGTGCATGTAATGTATCTTGACTTTGCCAAAACATTTGATTCAATACCCCATAAACACATAATCCACAAATTAAAGTCTGTTAGCATTGATGATGATATGTATACCTGGATAGAAAACTGGTTACAGGGGCTTGTTCAGAGGGTTGTGATTGAT